GGGAGGCTTGAGAATAATATACCAACCAATAGGTTAACACAGAACAAATCCCTGGTTTTTAGGACACTGAAAATCATTCAGGTTCTTAAAAGAAGAATTTTATTTAAAAAAAGTAAAAGAATCACACCTGCAAAATCAGGATGGAAGATAACTTTACATGGTAAATAAAAAGATTTAAAACACAGAGGATTCCCCTCTGACTCTACTTCCCAGTTACAAAACAGGAATAAAATTACCTCTTAGCATAGGGAAAATTTACAAGCTAAAACAAAGGATAATCTACTGCATTTCCTTGCCTTTACTTACAATTTTTGTAATTTAGATGTATCATTTCAGATACCTTTTCTGAAGCTGGTTTACCTGCTTGGTCTCTCTCTCTCTCTGTCCCAAGAGGGAACCAGCAAAGAGAGCACACACAAAACCTTCCCCCACCCCAGATTTGAAAGGATCTTCTTTCCCCATTGGTCCTTCTGGTCAGGAGGGATTTATGTTACTGCATACATAAAGGTTGTTACCCTTCCCTTTATATTTATGACAGGAACATAGAAAGGAGCGTAAACTCTGACAAGTTAAGTGTTAAAGTACAATTAGGCAGGCAAAAAAAATATTTTGAAGAGCAACTAGCCAAAGGTTTAAAAACTAAAAAAAGAAAACTGAATTACATCAAAAGCAAGAAGCAGGTTTGGGAGGAGAATAGTCTTTCCAAAACAGCTTCCCCCCAACTGGAAATCCATGCCCTATGCAGAGCACCCAGAAGAGACTCTTGAAAATTCTCCTGCAAGAGAAGTGCTGATAATCACACCGAAATGTTTTCTAGAGCAGGAAATACAACCCAGATATTCTGGCTTCCAATCCAGAGTATTCACTACTAGACCAAGAGCTGTTAAAAACTTTCCATCGGAATGTGTGTGTTTAAAAAAAAATGTTTGGGGGGAAATAAAAAAGAAGCATTTCAGTAAGGTCAAAACTTTCCTTTTTGACTGCATTGAAATGCAATTTTTTGATTTTTTTTTTCATTTCAAAAAGGGAACAAAATGTTTCAATTTTGTCAAAACAGAATGTTTTGGTTGACCTGAACATTTTGGAGGAAATTTCAAAATTCTTTGTTTTCGTTCTTTTTAAAAGAAAAAACTAATTTTTACAATAACGAAATTTCCCATGCAATGGAAATTCTGGTTTCTGCCCAGCTCTAACTAAACCATGTTCTCAGCCTCTTTCTTATAGGGCCATTTTTTATACCTGTACCTCAGTGTGTGATGTCTGTTTCCATAACTCTAACTTTCCATTGAAATCAATATGAATTTTAAGTGAACTGTCATTACGAGGCTTTGTGAATGAAATCTGGTCCAACGCTTGTTCATATGTATTAGATGAAACTGGGTCATTTTTCTACCTACTCTGATTTCTCTGTTATTTATTCCGTGCTCATCTACATGGGTTCTGAACACATTCTAATTTCTAATAGTAAACATATCAAAGTTACTTTGTCTGCTCCTTAGCTATGACATCTTGCGTTATTTGGTTATTAGTTTTGGTTGGCTGGTTTTCCCTTTTTTAACTGAGGAAATGCACAGGTCAGAGCAATGATTCATATATTTCAGTCTGAAGAAGATGATCTCTAGAGGGGTGTTTTCAATAAACAGTCAGGACTCAATCTGGCTCCCACTGAAGTCAAAAGGTGCTTGTCATGAATCATAAAAGATCAGGATTGGAAAAGATCTCAGGAGGTCATCTAGTACGACCCCCTGCTCAAAGCTTCAGTGCTTGTGGGACTGGGTCGTGGGAAGCCCAGGATCTGGCTCCAGGGATCTCTGACTTGTTCTAGTCAGGATCTTTCTTCTTTTGCAGTGAGAGAAAGATGGGTAAGTTTTGCAGTTGAGATTCAGGGCTGTAGAGTATTTTCCACTGGCAGGTGGTCTCTCAAACGATATAGCATGGAAACTGGTGCAATTTCTTTTGTGCGACATTTTCAGAACCTCTCCCTCCTAAGAGTGTCTTACGGGGTCTGCTGTGCCAGAACCAAAGTGTGTGCATGTGTGGGGAGAGGAGGAGAGGGGAGGGGAGGGGGGAAGGAGGGTTCAACACATTCTGCTCTTCTGTTGCCTCTTTTCTTGGTATTCAAAGCTCCTTCTTCAGATCCATGGATTTTTATGTAGAGAAAGATTGAGCCAGGGACTGGGCTGGATATGTGTGAGGATAATGCACATTTTCTCCTTCACCAAAAGAGAGAGTCCCCATAAAACACAATCCTGTTCACAGAATCTTTAATTTTGTAACTATTATTTCTGTTTGGGGTGGTTGCAGATGTGTATTCCACTAAGGTGTGTTTGTGCTCAGTGCATTGAGGCTGCAGATTTTCCCCCTAGCAGTACCTGTCAGGGCAGCACATGTGCTTAACACCTCCTTTTGGTCCCAACAGAGGCTATATAAGGGTGGCTGTATTCACAGCAATCCAGCTCCTGACCCCGTCCCCCCCAGTTCCTTCTTAATGCCAGGGGTCATACTTGGAGTTCCCCATGCACGTTTTCTCTTTGTTTTTTTTCACTCTGCATCGGGCTGTTTTGCTGAGTTTTTCACTTTCAAAATAGTTTTTAATTTTTGTTCATGGTAGAACCTACAGTCTAGCTTAGATTTAGTGTAGTTTTTATAGTTAGTCATTTTTAATGTTTTGCGTTACCTAGCAACAAGGGTTATGCAGTGTTCTCCGGGCTTTAGCATTGCCAGTCATGTGGGGTCTCTGTCCACATCAGTGACTCACACACTTGCTGTTTGCTCCACCCAGGAGTGGGTCACATTTCAGAGAGTTGTTGTTCTTTTAAAAAGCGAACATAGATGTCAAGTAAACTTTATCTAAAGCAGCAGTTGGTGGAGAAAGCCATAAGGCGTGTGTTGGTATCAATACCCTCCACCACCTGTGGATCTAACCACCCTCAGCTGCCTTCCACCCCTGAAGTGGCAGAGGACAGACCCTGGGACTCTGATTCTCCCTCAAAGAGGGAAGTTGCTCTATGTCTCGGGAACCGCCTTGAAAGAGGACCCATGAGACAGATTGGGGAAAGGAAGGATTCAGCATCTTCCTCCTCAAAGACAGCCTTGAGATGTCCAGATGGTAACCAGGGTTGTACTGGGACAGGAGTTTTCCTGTGCCATACTGTTGACTCTGGATCCATCTGGGGATGGCTGTGAAATCTAGTACCTGCAGACACAGGTGTGGCAGCAATGGACTTGTTTTGTTTGTCATGCCAACCTCAGCACTACCTGAGGAGTCAGCGGGACTATCAATACATTTTGCTATTCCAGGCCCTTCAACTTCTTCAGCATTAGGGCCAACGTGGATGCCATCAACACTGTTGGTACTGGTGATGAAACAGAATATTTTCAGCACAGGGATAGGGAGAGGTTTAGGTTGGATATTAGGAAAAACTTTTTCACTAGGAGAGTGGTGAAGCACTGGAATGGGTTACCTAGGGACTTGGTGGAATCTCCTTTCTTTGAGGTTTTTAAGGTCAGGCTGGACAAAGCCCTGGCTGTGATGATTTATTTGGGGATTGGTCTTGCTTTGAGCAGGGGGTTGGACTAGATGACCTCCTGAGGTCCCTTCCAACCCTGATATTCTATGATTCTATGAAAAAAAAATGGGGCACCCATATCCACTGCAGAGCACCCGAGATTCCTCTCTCTCTATGTGGAAGAAGGGCTCAGACAGCTCTGCGAGCTACACTCCCTTACCTGGATCTCAAGGCCCCTTGAACTCTACACTTTTCCCCATTCCACATAAATATCTGTGAGATTAATCATCCAAACCATAAACCATCATCACAGTAAATTATTCCAGCTATCTGGCTATCAATTTCTCTAGCTCTTTTAAAATTTAAGTCATCATGGATTTTGAACAATTTAATTCATTTACTGGGTAATCTTTGATGCATGGTACCAAGGGAAACACTGAACAAGAGTTTAAAAGGCTGTAATAATTCTTGTTGTTGTTTTTTTCCAGATGAAATAAAGAAGGAATTAGGTGAGTGAAGACCTAGGTACACCCTTGCTGGTGTCCCCACTCCCATTGCTTGGATATTGGGAGAGAGGGGCCATTTCTCCTGTCTCTCTTCCATCTCCCTGGCTGATCCTGATGGAGAAGGGGATTCTGACAGTCCATGTTCTTCCCCATCCATAGCAGGGAATACAGCAGCTCCAGGCAGACACATTGCATCTCCCGACACTGCTCACACATACCAGGCAGCATGGGAGATGTGGCCTGATTCCTGTTGTCTGTCTCAGCCTGATTGACAGACACATATGGGGTCCAAAACACCTCAGTAGCCACAGCTGGAGTGTCACTGATTTAGGGTATGTTTGCACAGCAGCTGGGGTGCGTAATTCCCAGTGCAAGTAGACAGACACCTGCCAGCTCTGCTCGAGCTACCATGCTATAAATAGCAGTGTAAATGCAGTGAGACAAGTAGCAGCTCAGACGAACTGCCTGAGTATGTACCTAGGGGTCAGGTAGAATTGTACTCATGCAGCTAACCCTAGCCAGCGTGGTCACTCTGCTATTTTTAGTGCACTAGCTCAAACAGACACACATTGGAGGGAATTGTCCTTCTATGTCCTGCTTAGTAGGAGCTGGATTGCTGTGAATACAGCCTCTGGTGGTTGGAAACACTGTGTGTGTGGACGGGAAGGTTCATTTTTTGTTCGAGTGAGAGGGGAATGTGTAAGAGGGAGTTAGATCAAAGCTAATGAGAGCAGGTAACATGGAGAGGTGACTCATTGGCTGGAGGTTCAAGACAGACAGAGCAGATCTCAGACAGAGCAGGACTCCTGCCCTGGTTTCTAATCTTAGCTCAGAACAGCCCACGTCTTGCATCTGAAGAAGTGAGGTTCTTACCCACGAAAGCTTATGCTCCCAGTACTTCTGTTAGTCTCAAAGGTGCCACAGGACTCTCTGTTGCTTTTTACAGATTCAGACTAACACGGCTACCCCTCTGATACTTAACAGCCCACATGTGTGTGCAGAGAGAGAGAGAGAGATTGAATGACCATTCAAGTGCCATTTTTGTCTATATTAACTCCAGTAAAAGGAATCACCTCCTAATGCTTCTGGCATCCTCACTTGCCCTCAGTCTGGACCTTCCCTGCTGCTGGAGGGAGGAAATTTGCAGTCAATGCCTCTCTTAATTCAATGTCTGTTGTTTTCTTTCTTTTGTTTCAGAATGGAGAAGGGTTCGGAACAATTCAGGTAAGAGAACACCCCACATGGATAGAGGTGCTAATACTATGGTGATAGATGCAGCGTGAGAACCTCAATATATTAGAATCTATTCCATTATTAAAGAAATCAGCAGGTTTGATACTATAATCAGACTAGAAACACAGCCTGTTCTTATCAGAGACACAGCTCCTAAGGTCCTTCCCGGCTTCTAAACTAATTTCAAGGTCTGATTCTAACGTTATTTACATCAATTTCACATCATTGTAACTCCACTGACTTGCATGGAGTTACTCCTGAATTACAACAGTCAGTTCAGAATCAGCCCCCAGTGAGAGATTTCCCTGAGTGAGAACTGATGGTGTGATATTCCAAAACACCCTTTTATCAATACCCGGTGCTTCCCTGTGTAATTCCCTTCCCTCAGTTACTCAGTGAGGTAACTACTCCCAGGCGAACTTAGACTCCACAAGGGGGCATGAGGAAGCTCATCAGTGGAAGGCTGGGCCCCTGACCCCTTCAGAGGGCCAGCTACCCTCTGACAGACCTGCGCTCCCCAGTCACTTTGGCCCAACTCCTTCAAGGTAATGATCCCAATGGGAGTTAGGCACCTAAATACCTTCGAGGAGCTGGGCTTCAGTGTTTACTTGGAGCGGGGTTTTCAAAAGTACCTAAGGAGGAACTTCAAAAGTTAATTACTCAAAGTCAATAGCTGCAATTATTCAGAAAATAACTGACTAGCGAATACTTTTGAGAAAAGTGAGAAATGCTCACAGATTATTCACCAATAGAAAAAGATATAAACATATTACCTTCTGTACATAATTTGCTCAGCACTATTACAGACATTAGAAACTGAGCACTGTCTTCACAGCGGTGGTTCTACCACTGCCATGGTGGTGGTTCTACCACTGCCTGCCCCTTTGTCAATCAGCTGGCCAGTCATTCAGAGGGGAATAGGCCGCACCCCTTGGAGGAGTGTAGTTTGGTGTGCTTGACCAATCCACCATCCTGAATCAAAATTGCTCCCAGCCAGTCAGATTTGTTTTCTCCCCTCAGAAGGAAAATTTCTGTGACAGCAAAAAACATTTCATTTCCAGGGAATTTTTTAGCAGAAAATGTTGACTTTTTGTCAAAAAGTCAAAATTCTAAAAAACAAATATTTCAGCCAAAAGCTTCTGAAGGCTGGATATTTTCATCTGAAAACTGGGAAAACTTTGGGTTTTGATAAAAATGTTCTGTTTTCATATTTTCCCCACTCTGGTGAAAAATCAGAACATTTCTAGGAAAGCCGACTCTTTCTGTGAAATAGTTTTTTTTTTTTTTTTTTTTTTCTG